TACAGCCCGAAACGGGGGACCTACTTTTTCATAATCTGTAAATTCTTCAAACTAACTACGTTCGGAAAGTAAAAAATTGCTCTTACAAAACAATTAATTAGCCGTCTGGATACACAAAAATGCCTTGCTTGCCATGTGAATGGAGTGGCACAGCCAAGACGATCACCAACAAAAACACCTTCTCGGCCAAAAATATCGCTTGCCAGAATCTAGAAATATCAAAAACCGGTAGTTCAGACGCATCAAAAGTTACGCATGTGAACATTAGATGCATAACAGATGTTATTTCAGTGAAAACTTAAAACACAGAGGTATTTTTAATAAATTCCTTAAAAAAAAAAAAACGTAATTTGTGACGCTGTTCATTCGATCACTTTTATTGCCCCATTCTTCAGTCCTTACACTGTTTCGTTTTTAACTGCCTTTATAATAAATAAGTCACCACTTCAATATATAAATAGGACCTCGGGGACACTGATTCGGAATTTCACTTTTCTGACAGAAATAAATAGGTAGACAGACACGACTTGGTTTTGAATTACGTATTGCATTTACTAATTCTGAAATAGATTCTCCAGTGATCCGAAATGTAAAACAACGTCGCTGAGACGCACCAAATATTTAATTTTTAAGATTTATACGTGTTTTAAAAAAATGTTTTTGCTAATATATCATTGTTAATTGTATTTAATCTGCAATAAAATTTCGCACACAAAGTCGGCGTTCGTGTTTGATTTGCCACAAAGTTTCGAGTGATGCAACAGGTTGGAGATAATTTCGCCAATCTTCAGGTAAGTTCTATCTAATCTCTTAAAACTGGTTAATCGTGAGATTCGTTTCAGATACAAGCGTCTGCTACTTAAGAAGCTTTATTGTAAACGCTAAGGATATTGACACGGTTTTTTAATGAAACTTAATTGACATTATGTATACGAAGCGTTTCCTCGTGGAACCGAAATCCGTCCTTAACAACACCACAACCCAAATGTGGACAAAATCCGAGTTGATGGGGAGAATTAACGCAATTTAACTGTTGTCTCGGTCTTACAATTGAACTGGTTAAAATTCATTTACAACTTTTTATATCTCATTAGAAATGAATGTGACTTCCCGGCAAGTTTAAACACTTGAATATGATTTCGCGGTTTTACTCTATGAATACCCTTGGAATGGGGTTTATTTATACTTAGCTTCCGGTGGAAAGCTCTGCTAACAGCCAAGAAAACGAAACGAGGAATTTTCAATTTTTTCTCTTTTATGTGTTACCAATCAGGTTAACCTCCATAAAAGTCGCATTCATGCTTGATTTTTCGCCTCTTTTTGCTATTAAGTAAACTGCAGTTGCAGAAGTGTTAAGGACGATTTTTTGTGATTTAATTGGTAGCCTTGCAAAACAATTGAGCTACAAATAAAAGATAATGAAAAGTGATCCGTGCTCATCCATCCTTGACAAAATCTCGTAACGTTCGTCATCAAAATCAGAAGGCGAGTTATGGTTTCGTTTTATCGCACGAGTGCGGTGCAACAAACGAACATAAAAAATTAATTGGAAAATCGCGGCAAGAAAGATAAGAGATAAAGTTATTACCCGATTATGAACGCCGTGGAGCGCATAAGCATCTAATTGAATAATTAAGATCCAATTTGATGGCTAAATTAACATATTTGATGCGCAATTTTCGAAAAACCAATCTCCTGTAGTAACTAGAATAGTTCGACTTTATTAATAGAAACTAGAAAACAAAGGCCGGCAGCAAGATTTTTAAAAATCTTGGTTAAAATGTTTTTGAACTTTAAGTGAGCTAACAGCTGTTTAAATAATCCATTGTGTTCAGCTGTTACGTCGTGTCATATACACAAGGTGTTTGAATTTAATGTGGGTATTTGTATTTTTCCCTAAATTTAAAATCTATGAGTTCAATTTAAATGGTAAACAGTTAATGAAAAATTGTTAGTTCGAAACGTGCCAAAAAAACGTCGGTCAGTAGCAGCTATTTTAGTAACGGATTATATTTAGGTATTATAGTTTCTTGTTTTCAAGAAGTGGAGAAAAACAAGTGGAAATAGTGGCTGTAAATCAGCAATTTCGACGATTGAAGGAAGGAAATTTTTATCAAGTTCGCCGTAAATACTGATACTATTTTTAAAAATTACCCTATCTGTGTTAAAAAATAAGATAAGTATTGTGCTTTCGTTCCAAATTCTAGTGCTTGTCAAAATTCACCCAACTAAAACTAAAACGATGCCTGAAACGCTCAATTTAGCTTCGACGAATGTTTGTGCCAACTTGTTAATTATTACTGCATTGTCCTGCACCGAGACACCATATAGAAGTGGCCTTGAAAAAAATTAGCTTCGTTAGAGCGCTAAATACTCCATCAAACACCAATGTGCTATAATTTCAACCATTTTTTTAAATATCGTGTGTCGTTTCACAATTTTCAACGTTGGAATTACAAATCTGTGACATAAAATTCGGTTTTTCTCGCCACGGTATTCGACAAAACTTTTTTGCATTTCCGTTCCTGAGATGAATTTATGACAAGCGTAATGTTTAGTTCCATGAGTCAGTTTCATAAAAAGTACACTTCACCGCAATGAACGCGAATTCTAAGAATGCGTAGCTGCAAAATGACTACGTGATGATTATGTAAAACTTCTATGAACAGAAATGCAACGTGTGGTGTTTTTTTCCAACGTTGCAAAATTCGTAAATAAGTTACAATGTTTGGCTAAAAAACAAAGTATTATTATCCTCTTCCGGAGAATGTGATAAATATATCACACAAATTACCAATATCAGTACTTGATACCTACTCAGATTGGAAATAGCAGGAAAAATTTTTATCAGGTGATCGAAGTACTTAACCGGTACCCTTTGTACCTGTACAAATTAACTAATTTTTAAAAGCTTTGCAGGCAATTATAACCCTATCGAATATTTTACACCTCATTTCCTACCCTTGGCTCTTATCCAACCCATTTATTAACGTTTTATACCAAATTATACACCCGAATTATTTTATCCGCTTTCGTAGTATTAATCGGGCATTTTTTTGTGGTTTTCTGACTCCAACTGGTATATACCACAAGTCACGTATTTTCTTTAAATTCTCTATTAGCACAGATAAAACAATATTTTATCGATACTTGCACAATCGACGACGCCTACAGTTCTATATTTAATCGACCTAAAAAAATCTCGTCTCAATGGTTGTCAAAAGTGACAATACTTTCGTCACATAGATCATTCATAAGTCCAAATAATCATACTAAGACTGCTTAATACGTTACTTTTTTAAAGACACGTAAGATTACTTAATGCACCCTGATTAGATTATCACGGGATTAAGATTTCACGATTCTGAGAAAAGTTGATGACCTATTGACAAGCCACATGATTCAGACCGTGTACTTATTGATAGAGCGATAGCGATAAGTAAAAAAGTCGATTGCTTGTTCAAAGAAATGGTGCGGCTTTGTCTCCTTACCACAGAATACGTCGCTAAATAGTAAAAACCCGTAAATTACAGACCTTGGCGGTCGTGCAACTCCGAACAGAGTCGTATTTGTCTATTTTGTATATACTAATATCACTTCTAGCTACAATTTGGGTTAACTTGCGTAATTTTCAAAATATTGTCGATATGGCAACGTTGCTTGCGCAGTCGCGGTCTAAAAACGTTCAGTTTCGCGCAGGCTACCAAGATCAAAAGTTCCGCGCAAATTGAACTCTTTCAGTTATTTCTGGTACAAATAAAACAGAGGAAACATCACTCCAGATCAGTGTAACTGGGTGCCATTTTGTTGTAAAACTTTTCCAAAGCGTTACCCGGAATTCTATCAAAATCAAATAGATTTAGTCCGAGTTACGAGGGCCAAAATATCTTCTAACTTTGAAGTGAAATTAAAAGTGTGATGGTCTGATAAGCTGGCTGAACAGGTGTCTAAATAGTAAATAGTGAAAAATATTTTTGTTTAGTCCAGGGTAGGGGCACACGAGCGTCCGAACTTGTACTTGTCTTACTAATGCCAGTTGATGCTTAATCGCCCTAAGTACTGTGTTCTACAAAAAAGTATAATACATATTAAGTACGTCGTCGACTTTTAGTGTACGCGAGTACTGAACAAGCTATCGGGAAAATATAAAGTTAATGAAGTTTATCCTCCACATTTCAATTCAGTTGTCTACCCACTTAAAATATCAATTAATCTCAATGAAAAATTGAATTTTTAAACGATTTATGACGCCTTTGTTGAAGAGAAATCGTCCGACGTCATCTAACAATATAAAGATTTAATTAAAATTATTAAGTTGGGAGAAGTTATTAAGCCGTCGACAAGTTTATTTAATTAATCGGAGTCTGGTTCTCGTCGAAATTCATTATCTCGTTGCTTATTTTCGACTTCTCAGATTAACGCGATGCCTGTGCCTATAAATACGAAACTAAAATGGTCACAAAAAGTGAAAACGTGAGCGTGAGACTAAGAGGTGCAGCTAAAATTACACCCTAAATACGTAAGGAATCCCAACCTTTGAAGATTTTATTTGATCTTGTTTTCCTGTATTTTAGTTTCTAGAATACTTTGTTGCTAAGGCATAGGGTCATATGAAAGCAGTTTATAAAAATATCCGGCCGTGGCCCTGGGACGTTGGAAGTATTTTCGGCTAGCACGTAGTTCACCCCTCTACCACACACAACAGCGCCCAACTCACGACCCACCCAGCCGCATCCACCACGAATTTCGAAAATCCCGCCGCTTCCAGACACAAAATGCCGCACATTTCCCGCGCAAATATTTAAACCCGAATCGATTATTTTTACAAGCGTGGTTATTCCGCCATCTAGACCGGCTCGATCGAAGCAAAAGCAAAAAAAACCGTCCGTGCCAGAAATAAATTTGGGTTTGAGCCAATTGCGCTACGTTTAGAACGTAGACAGAAAATGCCGGTCGGTAAGAATTCATATTCAACATTCTGGAAAAACATAAAGACATACCTGTATTCTTTCCATGACAGTACAGAGTACCACAGGGTGAACATTTTATCGCAGTAGGCTTGGTGAATCTGTCGAGGAAAAGTCAGCACGTGAGGCAGTCACGGCTTGCTTGGGTACTTCCTCTAAACTGACTTATTTTTCGTTCTGACGCCGCTCTGATACGTTTTATTTTTTCTGAAAGAAGCAAATCAAAAGTGACGATTAGGGGCTGATTTTATGATGAAGTTTAGCTCGATTTAATCAATACTAGTAGTAGAATTTTAAAAAATTAAACATGTGGTTGAAAACGGAGCTTCGTTTAGTATCGAACTGGTCTTTAGCGAAGGGGTAAATAAACAAATTTGTGGGTCAACATGTTTATTATAAACATTACACGATGGCATCTATAATGGGGTATGACTAGGAATACTTACTATGGCGATTTTATGGTTGACTGTTCACTAAATTATTTTAAAACACTTAATTTTATTCAGGTTATTTGATTTTTGTTTAGATTGGTGCTATTATCGGGATTTTTTGATGAAAGTATGTCAGTGGGCACAACGCAAGTTACCCTTCCTTAGTCCTTTTCAGTTATTGGCTACGATGATCTTTCAGGCCAGCTTTCAGGAGCGCGTAGTTCAAATCGTAGGCAACACGCTTTACACTAAAACAACTGTCAAGCGTTGCTTACGAACTACTAGCTATATAGCATTCAAAATATACAGACTTATTTAGAATTTTCATTTAGGACTTAACACTGCGACCTGTTATAGTCGATTTTCGCATCACAATTTAATTCTCATTAGTCTTATTACAGATTACAGTGACATCTTTTATTTGTTTCCCACTTTTAAAATCACTCCCTAATTTTATTGTAGCTGCACTGACATTTAAAATTCAAATTGTAAATAATCATTTACTAACAATTGGAACAACAAGGAAACATTCTAACGAAGCTTTTAAATTTCTTCTACTATGCAGCTACAACAAAATAACATTAATAAACGCGTATTTTTCTTATCAGTATAACATAAGAACTCATTTTGTTTCATTTTTCTTTTTGACTGTGGAACAAGTGGCTATAAACAGACTTTACACTTTTCATTACGCAGTCTAAAAACACAGAATAACAAATTACTATAATAGGGACACTTGCATCTACAATTAGGAAGCAATCATTCATGGTGACTTTTTTACTTTTAATGTCACGTTTCAAAGGTAAAACGTGCGATTTTACAGTTTTAGTGATTGGTTTTATGGGATTTCAGGAATTTAATTTCCTTTAGATCCAAGGATGATGAAAAACATTGATGGATCATAATTGTGACATTTACGTTTGATCACGTGACAACATTTTAAACGTAATATTTTGACGAGTCGTCTCAGGATGAATATTAAAACACACTCAAACTATGTGAATTTTTTACTAAACGTACTTAAGATTACAATAGTACCAGACAATTTTTTCGTATTTTAAAAAAGTAGTTATTTGATCAAAATCCTCGTAGCAAGAGGACATATTATTGCATAAGTAACCTTATAAAATACATCTGATTGTGTCTTAATTATGTTTATTAATTTCACTATTGTATGTTTAAATTTATACTACACCTTAAAGTTAACATGTGAGAATTCATTACGCAGACAAACTATATAAACAACAAACATGAAATTTATAACATATCGACACACACAAAACCGGCATTTGTACTTTTTCAAAATAGCATAAATAATAAAAAAGATAACAAAACATAAAAAAAATCACAACTGAATTTTAAGATTTTTACAAAATATATGAAACTAAGATAAATCGAGAGCCTATTGATATGCATCACAGATTCTAAAATACTTAAGTCATTTATGTACATACTTAAAACAAGTTGTTACAACTTTGTATGTTTGACAGTATCTGTCCAATAATTCTGAATGGTCATGGCTTCTAAACTATTGAGGAACGAATCATTGTCTAAACTGTACATTTCCTCTGAATTATCCTGTAAAAAAAAAATGCACTTTTATTAAATTATGGTTAGTCGAAAGCACCCCCTCGCTAAATTCGTGTGAAAGAAATATAAGAAGCGAACGAAAAAAAGTGGATAAAGAAATCGAAAACAGTGCAACTGAAGAAGAAATAGTAACTGCTTACTCTTACTGAAGCATCATCGATGTATCCGCTTGAATCGGGGTTGCTGCAGCGATCGTTAAGTACTTGGGGTCGGTTGAAGCCCCTGTTGCGGTACAGGAGATAACTGACTCCACAAATAACCCCCACGATAATTACAGACCCCAGGGTTATTCCCGTTATCCCCGCTGCAGACAAGTTACCAGACAGTTCCTCATCTTTCTCTACATTCTTCTCCGAACTTAACAGAAGACTTTGGTTAAAATTAGTTTCGTTAACATAATTGAAACTATCAGTATGATTTATTGCGCTAAAGTTCGAATTAAGCATTATTTGGTTATCAGTAATATTACTGACATCAGTTGTATTCTGATTTATCACAGTCACTTCTTTGCTAGGGGAGTACGATTTTTCAGTTGCGTTTTGCTTCATCATATTGGAATACACTTCGAACTTTTTCGAGGAAGGCTTCTGTTTTGCCACTGAAGCTGTCGTATTGGAAGGACTATCGTGGATGGGCGGATTCGAAACAGAGACTCCGAGTGCTTTGGCAGGGCGGTGGTCTAACTCGGGCGAAGCAGTAACTGGTATGATGGAATGTGAAAGAGTAATTTCCTCAGATACACCAACTACAATTAAAAATTATAATTAGTGACGTCATTATGCGTTCATCGTTTTTCTGGTTTTCCCACGATAGCCCCACAAATCCCGTTTTTACTTCGGATACTCACAGTATATTCGAAAGGTGATCCAAAACCAGTGCATCCACCAATATGACAATGTCATGACTTCATCCGCATTAGAAAATGAAAATTGCACAATTAAAGTAATTACCTTAACAATACCAATGATTGTTTTGTAATCACTGCAGGATTTTCTTTCTTCAAGGACTCAATTCGCCACAGCTTACGCTGCTTAAATAACAGCTGGAATCAATAAACATTCATTTATGAGACAATTAATATTTCTATACCTGTTATTCAATACATACACCTGTCAAACTGATAACATTTTTGATAAGGCGAGTTTTGTTGTTGTGCACGTCAGGTTGTCATTGCATGAGTCAGATGTCGCTGACAAGTGACAGGTGGAAGCGCCAATACAACGCAGACAATTTCCCCGAAGGGTTACATGCAGCGAAACTGACCATACCTGAAATTTTTTTAGCGAACAAAGAATTCAAAAAAACGATAACTCGTAACGAAATTATTATTAAGATCTCAGTTGTCAATTGATATTAATTTAGTCATCATTATCAACATTGTATTGACGTCGAATGATAAAATGACTGCATATAAATAAACAATGAAAAAATTTATTTAAAAAAATGATGTGTAATTAACTGTCAAACCTTGAAGAGTCTTGTGTTTGACAACGGTGTCTACTGACGGTGTGCACCCAACAATGTCATTAAAATGTCAATTAAGAATTTTCGATGTTTTGACAATTTAATATGGTACTGGCAACATTGACAACGTTCATAAAAAAAACTTAAAAAAATGTAGCTAAAAAAAATAAAAGTACTTTGATCTCTACATGGGTTTTGTTTTAAAAATGGTGTTTACTATTGTAAAATCGTCATTAAATTTTCCATTGATTAAGAGTCAAATCTAAAAAAAATCATGATCAATGATGTCATTGCTTCATTTGATTGTGGTATATCTCTTTTATTTTCGCGCATGAAGTTTGACATTTTTTGGTAAAAAGTGTTTTATGTCGCTATGACACTCCTGACTAATCGTCAACATGGGAATTTTGACTTCTTGAAATGACTGTTTAAATTAATTTTCAACTCAACAAAGTGTTATTTTCGATGAGTAACATAAAACTAATTTTTTTATTTGACTATTACTGTTTGCGATTTTTTGTCAGGTCAGGCCTGATTGTTAAAGTAGCTGTCATCATCTCAACCAATCAACACGTTTGCTAGACGTATTCGTGTCAAAATTGACAACTGAACTGACAAGAAATTAAAAACATGTTTTAGAGTATCGTGTTGTTCAAAGAATACTATGTATTTTAAGAAAAAAAGGAAAATATAAACCCCGCCCACCCACCTGTAAAATATACAGTGTCTTTCTAAATATGGCATAAATTACATAAAAAAAAAACAGAAAATGCTTTCGGTTAATGTATTTCATTGACAAGTACTCTTTCTGATCTAGATATAGAAATAAAATGGCCAGCTTTTAAAAAATGTTGACACTTGTCGAAATAAATGAAAATGTTTTCCCCCAAATATGGCATGAATTATATAAAAAAGAACAGAAAATGCTCTTGGATAATATATCATATTGACAAGTACTCTTTCTGTGGCGGATTTAAATTGATTACTACAAAAATGTACCATTTTAGACATGTTTTAACTGTCTTGTTGTCGAAATACGTCTACACATATTAAGAAAAAAACGTAAAATGTAGCCCCGCCCACCCATTCTATCTCAATTGTGATGTTTTTTCTTATTCGTCGTGAGCCAAGGGGGCGGTACTCGGCTGTAAAATCCTTATTTCTGCACGAGAAATTAAAAACATGTTTTTGAGTATCGTGTTCTTCAAAGAATACTATGTATATTAAGGAAAAATTAAAGCCAAATATTAAGCCCCACCCATACCTGCCCTGATCTAAACAGTAATGAAGTTTTCATTCGTGGTCAGACGAAATCATCACAATTGAGATGGGGTGGGTGGGTGGGGTTTATATTTTGCCTTTTTTTCTTAATATACATAGTATTTTTTTAACAAGACGATACTCAAAAACATGTTTTTATTTCGTGTAGAGAAATAAGGATTTTGCAATTAAGCTCCGCCCCCTTGGCTTACCACGAATAAAAAAGTCATCACAATTGAGATATTGCTCTTTTGGTTTTCTTTTTTAGTTAATACATTTAGTGTTCTTTGTATAACACGACTACTCAAGAACATATTTCACATGGTAATTTCTCGTGTCAAAATAAGGATTTTACAGTTAAGCTCCGCCCCTCGGCTTACGACGAAATTATATAATAATATTTTGTTTTTTTTTCTTAATATGCATACTATTTTTTGAATAACACGATACTCAAAAACCTATTTTTAATATCTTGTGAAGAAAAAATCATGACAATTGAGATAGGGTGGGCTTACATTTTGTATTTTTGTTTTAATATGTGTAAACTTCTTTTCACAACATGAAACTTAAAACATGTGAAAACCCTTTCAAAAAAATAAAGGCAAAACATAAGCCCCGCCCACCCGCTCTGTCTCAATTCTAGTGATTTTTTTTTTATTCGTTGTAAGCCGAGAGGCGGAGCTTCATTCTTATTTTTCTACGAGAAATTACCATGTGAAATATGTTCTCAAGTACTCGTATAATATAAAGAAAAGTAAATGTATTAATTAAAAAAGAAAACCAAAAATGAAGCCCCACCTATCCGTGTCGATCTCAATCGTGATGAATTTTTCATTGGTTGTCAGGCGGAACGTAATTGCAAGATCGATATTTCCCTATACAAATTTACAATTTTAAACATGTTTTAACTTCCTTCTTGTGAAAAGATGATTACACATATTAAGAAAAAGAAGCAAAATATCAACCCCGCCCACCCACCCCATCTCAATTGTGATGATTTTCTATTTTTCTTAGAAACTTAAAACACATTTAAAATGATACATTTTTGTTGGGAAATATGGATTTTGCAATTAGGCTCCGTCCCTAGGTCTAGCAACGAACTAAAACTTCATTACTAAATATTTAGATCAGGTCAGGTCTGGTCAGGTTCAGTCAGGTCAGATCACACAATATCTCGTAGAAAAATAAGAATTTTACAATGAAACTCCGCCCTTCCGGTTACGACGAATACAAAAAATCATCAGAATTGAGATAAGGCGGGTGGGCGGGGCTCATATTTTGCCTTTTTTTTTTTTCTTAAATTCATAGCCATCTTTTCACAACAAGAAACTTAAAACATGTTTAAAATGGTACATTTTTGCAAGGAAATATGGATTTTGCAATTATAGGGCGGAGCCTAATCGCAACATGTTTAAGTTCCATGTTGTGAAAAGAAGTCTACACATATTAAAATAACAAAGCAAATTTCTTGTTGACATCATATAGCTGTTAATAATTCAGAAATGGCAATGGATCTTTGAATTACTGATGCGGTGTTGTCACGACATTCCGATTTTCGTGTAATATTTTGACAATCCAGGGTTCCGAAAAAAATTCACCTGTTATTTGTAACATCTGAATTGATAAATTTTATCGAAAGATAAAGAAAATAAACAGATATACGATTTTTATTGTGTTATCAGTTAGATTAAATCTTAATATATACAGAGTGTTTGTAAAAAACCAAAGTGTTATAATTTTCGAATGTCGGTATTGCAGCTTTTTTAAATAAAACACCCAGTATTTAATTGGTGCATCTTGTTCTGTTTCTATTTTACCTCCCCTAAACGTTAGCTAAGGAAGTACTGTAACGAATTATTATGTTTTCTCAACGTTTCATAACCCGTAAAGTACGAAAAAATAGGGCACCCATTTCCGTCTATCTGTCTGTCTATGCTAACCAAAATTAAAATCAACACTGGAAGGATGTCATCTCATAATTTTGTAAAATAAGGGTTTATTTCAGTTTAACAAAATAAAATATTCCTGCACTTGTGATTTATGAATCTGTGTTGAGTTTTTCTCATCGAAAAAAATTGCAAAATCAATTTTTTCAATTTTTCAAGTAAACGGGATTTGTTGGACTGTACTTCAGGGGCGAGAAAAGTGTGTGAATTTTACAAGATGTTGTTACATTCAATTAATCATTATAATTCGATAACAATCATGATTTTTTAAAACAAAAATTATTATACTGTATGCGATCCAAAAATGCAGAGACCAATAGTTTCGTATTCTACAAGCTGCGAAATTTCGACAAAATATGAAATTAATCATTTTCTATATTGTACGCAGTAATAATAAAAAAAAACCGTTTAATATTTAATTGACAATATTCTGCTTATTTATGAGGGGATAGTTGGGTTTGGCTGCACGGAACCAGGAGCACATTCCGGATTGGTTTTTACTTTGGTTTTTATGAGTGTATTACTGGTGGTGTATAGTGTTAATGTCATTATTATTACTATCACTATTAAGTTTTAGTTATGCGAAACATCAAAACAAAGTTTCACCTATTTAATAAATATAAATTTTTGAATAAAAAGACTTTTAACGCTGTAAAAACGATCGTTAATATCGAATAGTCAGAAAATTGGTCTCAGTTTCGGGGTTGGTGACTCGGGCGGTTGCGCGCTACCGTTAATACACAGTCATTGGAAATTCCTTGGAAAATTTCGCGTTAAAAATTCCCAGCCGCTCTTGTTCGCTGAAACATTTCAATATCGCTGAATCTGGGTCGGCGACTTCCTGCCCGGCTAAAAATGCAGGCCTTATCAGCGAAGCCCGATAAGGGCGCCGTCCCGTGAGTCATAATTCCCATTAGCTATAATCCAGCTTCGACTTCTTGCGGAGAGAAATGTCCTCATTACCGACAAAGAAAGTGAATTTTAATGACCTCATCACGCGCTGGGGCCAGTTTGAGGTCGGTCGCGTGTTTGCGAGGTTTTTGAGTCGCGAGGAGCGATTTTGGCTTCGGTTTTTTGGCGGTTATGTACGCCGCTGTCAGCGAACCCCAATGACGTTTGTCATCCGGTGTTGATGCTGACCATGTTGGCGATGGCATGGTGGATCGCTCAGTATAACCTGTAGACGTAGTGCTGTAAAACAGAAAACTGCAGGTATGTGTTATCTCGAATTGTTATCTTATCATAAAAGTGATACGGCGTCGGGTTGCACGGAAACTGGCGCGCTCAATTTTGATTACTCGCCAGCGACGAGAAATGGCAGTTTTTACAAATTGTTGTCAAGGCTGCAAATTGTGTAACGTGTCCTGCAAAGGTATTATTTACCCGATTCTATTAATAATGGACAATTACACTCTATTTTTGTGCTTCACGGGTTTTCGTTTTCCCTTTTTGATGCAACGCATTCGGACTTCACATGTCTGTGTTCTTTCAGGAATTTCTCATTACGGTTTAACAAAAACACTGCCAGAAGTTTAACCTCTGGGGATTCATAAATTTCGGTTGTTAGTCACTGCCAAAGTTGCTTTAGGGAACACTGAAAAAAAAACACGACCTTTCTTCATAATTGATTTTTGTTGTTTTCTCACAATTAATGCGATTAATAAAAGTGACACTCATCCTGGATTAAACGACGCATTTTTCATTAAACTAATGGTAAATTAAAGCATAAACATTCACGGTTGCGTTTTGTTTACCTTTAATATAGTTGTGTGTTCAACATGTTCAGTGTCGAAATAGCTTAAAGGTGATAAGTACAGTGTGGAGTATTAAAATTGAGACGCTGTTTCATAATCATAACGCCAACTTGATCCGCTGTAACAGAGGTCGCGGTCAGGCAAGTGGTCAGATTATAAATTATTTTTACATACACTAATATCTTATTGTTTATTTTTAACTGCACAACCAAAAACCAACGTACTAACGACTCCTTTGACACAAATTCTAAATAATTATGACAATAATAAACTAGCAGGGGCGGCTCATGACTTGAAAAATTGATGAGGCACAGCACAAAACGCTCTAAAATATAAATAAATCAAGTTTACTTAAATATTTTCTATTTAGTCAAATAAACAAATTTGTAAACTCATTTAACTGTCCACAAAGAACCAACGTGAAGGTGTAAGGAGGTCTTGCAAGGAAAGGATGAGAATGACAGGACAAAAGGAAAGGGAAGCGTGGTCAGAAAAAACTAATATAACTTCTAACAAAAAACAAAATTAAAATAAACTTTAAAGGAAACATATCGAAAAAGATCAAATACAACATAAAATAAAGCTAATTTGATTTATAACAAAAAACAAAATGAAAAAAATATAAAATATAAATACGGATTTATTTTAAATTTTTTTTTATGGATCAATTAACGATTTACTCAAATCAGGAACCGGCGGTTTTAATTCCTTAACTACATACAATTTATCATCATACGTGAAAGTAGAAAAAACAGAACTGCCATTGTCATTTAACGTTAGTAGAGAAAAATTCCGATTTACTCGTAATCTTAAATAACGATTACCGAAATCAAATTATGACAAGCACAAAGCACTAACGCGACCCACGCAAACGTAGGCACTTTTAAGACAAAATTCTGTTACCGAAATTTTGAATCAATTTATACACACACAGATTTGTGGCAAAACAATCAACGGCCTAATTTTGAATACTCCTGCGAATGCAGACTGCATTGCAATCGCACGTTCCCCGCGCGCAAATAATATAGTTGTCCATCTCTTTTGCAAGCACGGAAATGAGGCTAGCCTCAATTTTGTCTTTTTTCAACTCATACCGCTTATAAGTGTATTGCAGGTTGCTTGCCTATTAACGACATGATTTCTATATATGCTGTAGAGGCAAGCTTCGAGTCGGCCTCATTCGCGTCACAAAATACATGTTGTGCCGAGTGTTTAAGCGCGCTGTTTAATTAAGGGAGCAACGAGTACCTACCGAGATAAAAATAAGAATATAATTTTCTATATTTATTTTTAAAATTTTAGAAAAAAGACACAAATTATTGGCCGAAATGTGTCCGTATAAAATAATAAAAATCCTAATAAGGCGTAAAATTCATTGGTGAGGCACTGCCTCACCTGCCTCATAGGACAAGCCGCCCCTGTAAACTAGATATATGTACCCAAATTTATCTGTCCTTGCTTGCAAATGTGAACTTCATGACTCAAACATTCTATGTCTTTAATAAATTCTGTTAACACACGAATGTGCAGTCATTTATTTGAAAGAACTATTTTTACCACAGGCAGTGTGGGTTTTGCTGTATCGACGTCCAAAAACCGCGTTTAATGACAAATTGAATAGAACGTAAAACTCATTTCAAGTTTATTCCGTTGTTTAACAGAACTTCCCGTACCTTTGAAGCACTATCGATTAAATAAGTCCAGTTAAAATGACGTGATGACGTTATCAATGTTTTGCTAGATATATTGTACTATTAATAACACCTATATTCCCAGAAATTCAGGAAAATGAGATAAACTATTTGCGGTCTAATCGATAAAGTAAATGGCTTCGTTTATTAATTTTTCAAACATTCGGTATAAGTAATTTAAAAAAATATAACTATGTGACTGCAAAATTTTTAAATGACGTCATCAAGTTTTTGGAAGGAACGGACCAATAAATCTGATTAGCCAAAAAACCCGGTTGTGTTATTTTCCCAGTGGTGGGAGCATAAAACGTCTCCTTTAATATTGTATAATAAACATCCACCAGTTGTGCCAACTGATATTCCGAAGTCGGTTTGTCGTATATACAAGTAATCATGTGTGACTCAGTTCATCCGGTAATGACGTCGACTTAGTTTGACAAATTTCGATTTTGGGGTGCGTCTAAAAATGAATTCTAGTGTGTTGTGAAAACTGGAAAAGAAATAACAACAAACCGGCTTAACTGTATTAAACCTGGCGTAACAACATTTGTTTAATTTATATATAGATAACTAATACACAGAAATGCAATTGTACGAACAATAGTATAAACGTATCGCTCGTAAATATATTACGATAATATAATAGTACTAAATTGCTAAATTATATGCATAGAGCGCAAAATTACTTCATCGTTTGTCGGTAGTTGAGGAAAGAAAGTGACACGCACTTACTTTCCGGTTAACTTTACGACATTCATGAAGTTTAGCCATCTATAAAATAAACTTCGAAAAAAATTAGAGTTCATCGCTTCGTATGAAACTAGATGTGGAAAGTTCTGTGCCGTCTTGGCCATATAAGTTTGTTTATATTGACAAAGTGATAATCTCCACCATGTTACAGTTCCAATATTTAATTCGGTAGTGGCGGCCTAGAGTGCAAGTCCAAAATTAATAAAGCGATTCATTACAGGTAGTGATTTAAATCGTTAATTTATTCAGGTGTCATGAAGGTTACTGGATTATCGATGCATTAACACACTTCAGCAAAATATCGACAGTGGGTTTGTGTACATGTTGGTAAGAAAACAAAAACGAAAATGTGTTGAAACACAGCGTAAGTAAACGATATGAAAATAGTGAAGTCAAAATCGCAAAAGCACTATTTTCGTTGATGGAGTATACGATGTTCTCGGAAACAAGAGCATCAAATTTCGAGCAAGACTAGACCAATTAGGACCAAATTGGTACCTCGGCGCGTATTTCTCGGAATGGGAAATAATGATGGGTCGAAAGCGGTGGACGTGCCCAGACTCTTCCACAGTTGGTTTCTTCGAAGTCGTGACGTAAAAAGAAAGCACAGCGAATAATAAGTAATCGGATATTTTTGCGAGTTGATCATTTTTGGCTAAAATTAGTCAGATAATAATTATCAACGATTGAAGGCTAATTAACTCGGTCCGACTGATTTCGGGTATAAAGCGTTCACAGCATTCAAGGATTCGTTTCTTTGCGGCTGTCGGCGTTAGTTATTGTAGAAAATAATTACGTATTGGTTTAGTATGTGGGTACCTTGAAAATTCGCGAATAAATAGGGTCCGAAGGTCGCCGTGTCATCAATTACTCAAGTTTATAATAAAGTCGGTGCGAGGATCTTTGTTTGATTTTGCGGGCTTGCGTTAAATGTAAATTTACAAAATTGTTCGTAGAAGTGGCCAGATAAGGCAAATTATTTAAATTGGAATTAAATGACCTCAATTCAGGTTGGCGTTTACGTAAGGAACATGCACTTAATTAATTGTTCGCTTAATAATGCAATAAGTCTATTGAAAACACTGTTTTATATCTTTCCGCAGATACGTTTTTAATATTAATGTCATGATTCCTTTGTATAGTTATTGCCAGTTCCTTGAAGATTTTATTTTTCGTGTTCTCTTTTCAGATTTGACGACGTCATGTCGCCTGATGCATTACTACGTCTACTCACCTACAGGATAATCATTATTTTTTACAAGTAAACTGGTAAGTCTTTTACAACTTCTTATCTAGATTTAACATTGTCAAGACGTGAACGCATAATAAACAACGTTAAAGATTTAGACGGACTATTGTGCGAACTAATTGCTACAAGTCAAATAGTCAGTGTGAATAGTCGGCCGAGAAATGAAAACCATGCCGAAATATCCGCGTAAGTAAAAATTAAAAATATATTTCGCGTTTCCTTAAATATCTGAAAAGTGCATTGTTAAAATTCACAAAAGTGATAAAACTAGTAGTTGAAATTTATGCGAACGCTGTAACTTTATTTTATTGTTATTACCTCGTAAATAACGATAAGTTGTCCGAAATTACCAATAAAGTGTCGTTAACAACTCCAAATAAAAAAAATACGTTCGCCAGCTTGAGGAAAATATTCGGGACGTAATTATCTAACCGGAAAATCACAGGTACTGGGAAGAGATAATTTTAATTATTATATAGTGTTTGCAGTGGTTTCCCCATTTCAAATCTTGTAATTCAAATAGTAGCCAATTATGAGTCATTTTTAGGTGTTTTCCGACAAGATATGTTCCTAATTTCGTGTACCGTAAGGACAATTAAAAATGAAGTCGCGTGTGGCCACGGAACAAATAAATATCCCTTTTAATAATGCTGTTTTAATTTAATATATGCCACAAATGTCAAAACACGGTGTTTATTTCGCTTAAAAAAATACAAATAATTGTAAAGATGGGGAAAGCAATTGTTTCCGTTCTCGAAATTAAGCGCAGGATCATTTGAACAAATATGCAATTTCGTGGCGCAGTTAGTAGAATACGAACACACACACTTGATATTTTATTAAACTGAAATAAAGAATGCTGAATCTAGAAAACTGGAAATAATTTTTCGTGATGTAGTCTCTTCCGTACTATTAATTTAGTCGTTCAGCTGAGATTAACTCTTGTAGATAAACGTGGTCGCTTCCCTCTAATTACCACTTGAATGCTATTTATAGCATTGTGCAACTTTATTATGATTTAGAATATTAAAAAATAATGGCCGTTAATTAAGCTGTTATCACGTTGGCATTGTTTCCTTAAAACATAAAGTAGGTAGTTCGTTTGTGCATTTACTGCGGTGCAATTAGCTAATAATTCGCAATCGATACAATGTTCATGACACCGTTTTTGTTATTTCTACCGACTATTGGTCTGTTTCTGCAGTGCCCGGTGTATTCCGCGGCTCGATGACAAAAAATATAAACGTGATGAACGCAACGCTTGTCGTCTTAATTCGGGTGCCTAGGTCGCTCGTCGCCACCAGACGTAAGTTGGCGTAATGCAACGTAAGAATTATCGTGGGCTAAGCAGAAGCCAAATGTCACTTCATATCAATAGCCAGATAACGCTGTTTAGATTGTTTTATTTTGGTCACGCGTTATTAAGTTAACACATTTTACTGCATATTGATATTCTACTTGTCGCTTGTCGCTAGGTGTACAGGTTCTAAATGTGAACTCCGGCCAAGTCGTGACAAATCAATTCTTTTTTTGTATTTTGAGTCAGAAAAGACAAAACAGGATGGTGGTGAAAGTTTTTGTTAAATTACTTAAAACGTGTAAGGCAAATTTTGACATTTATGTGAGTAGTTTTCATAAAAAGTTTTTTTTGTTTGTGACGTGTTGCAGCCGAATTTGGTATAAAATGTCTCCAATTCATGTGTTTTTAAAATAGCAAACCAAACACGTTCGAATTTAATTTGATCAAGTCGTTAGTTAATTACATTATATATACGAATTTCAGTCAAGTTTTATCCCCGGAGATAAAAGCATTCTTTAATTCAATTCCATCACGTCGTTCGTAAGATAAAGTGACACTGACTATAAGAACATTGATTGATAACCTCTAAAACATGAAAAATTCATCCCACCCAACGATTTGATGACGTAACATCAAAAGTTTGCGTGGTAAATGGTGTTTAATTTTGAGAAAATTGTGAAAACTGTTGTATAATTACACACTATATCTAACTAATTGTGTTTATCGTTAAATAAACCATAAACCGTTCTATGCAAATCACGTTAAGGTAAAAACCCAGGAATTTTGGACTATCGACTGTAAATAAGGAAGTATGGTCAAGGAGACTCAACCAACTATAAACTCAATGAATGAACAAACAAAGTACCTTAAAACAATCGGACCAGTCAAAGCGATGTAACCTACTGTACACTAGTAGGATATAAATTGCGCCTACGTCATCAATTCTTTGAAACGAATGACGTGTTTGTTTTGTTTCAGGCATGGGGGTGCCATGGCTTGCCCAGGTGCGGTTGCTGCACATGGCCATCCTAGTGTTAGCCACGGCGACATGTCTGCTCTACGTGGCATACATAACCTCCCCACAACTGACAACCACAGCTTCCCCTTTACGTACTTTAGCGTCAGAAATTCGAGCATTCCAAGGTAACACGACCCAAGCCGAAGCGGCGAGGAATATAACAGCGGCGCCCCCGAATAGCGGCTCTTCGGAAGCGCCGCAGCCCCAGGTGGCCGCGTCGATCGCCGTGCGCAATGCCACGGCGAGCAACAGCAGCCAGCCGGACATGACCCGGGGCATCGCGGCGGAGATCATCTACGAGGCGGGGCACGTGGACGTGAGCTCGCAGATGTGTCCCGATTTGGGGAGGGACATCAAGCTGCTGATCGCGATCACGTCGGCGCCGAGCCACGAGGGCGCGAGGATGGCGATCCGCGAGACCTGGGGGCACTTCGCGAGCCGGAAGGACATCGGCATAGCCTTCATGCTGGGCTCGATCTCGAACGAAACCGTCAACTCGAATATTGAAAAGGAACAATACTTATACGGTGATATTATACGTGGGAAATTTAGAGATACGTACGACAATCTTACTCTTAAAACGATTTCGATGTTAGAATGGGTAGATAATTACTGTCCGAAAGCAGCTTTTGTACTTAAAACCGACGATGATATGTTTATTAACGTGTCGAGGCTGTTGGCTTTCATAGCGAAGCACAGTCCAGAGCAGAGGGCGATCTACGGACGACTGGCGAAGAAGTGGAAGCCGATCAGGAATAAGAAGTCCAAGTACTATATTTCTCCAAATCAATATAAGCCGGCGGTGTTCCCGGATTTTACGACCGGGCCGGCGTATCTGCTTCCCGCGAGACTATCGAAAGAACTGTATGTAGCAGCACTTAATCACACTTATTTTAAATTAGAAGATGTTTTCGTTACCGGAATTGTAGCCAACAGTTTAAAAATCAAACGTATCCATGCACCAGAATTTTTAAACAAGAGAGTCTCTCTAACCCCCTGCAGCGTACAACGAGGAATCAGTATCCACATGGTCAGGGGAGTTGAACAATACGATCTTTGGAAAAAACTACATGATGTTGCTGCTAAGTGCAAAAAATAGTTCGTGCTAGCTCGAATTCTGTGTGATCAAGACAATTTTTTTCAATTGTGTATATTTTCATATGAACAGTATTTTTTAATTAAATTATTGTTATTTTAGATATTCCATGGGTCTAGCGAAACAGAAACGATAAACGTGCTTTAGCGCAACTGCGTCTTTTTACTCATGTCTGTACAAGTCGCGTTCTGTTTCACTACACCTAACCTCAAACATAGACAACTCTTAAAATGAACATCACTATTTAATTTTTTTATTAATTTTGTTATAACTAAATTACAAATAAAAAATTAATATTGGAACAGAAAGCTGCAAATTAATGCGAAAACGTATTAAACTTTGTTTATATATACATAAACATATAAGTTGCATAAATTTAGAATTCATTTTTATATTCCCTGTATAAAGAAATAATAAAAGTATTGTAAATAAAGTTACCAATTCAGTTTTTTTTACTTAAACTGTTCATACACATCATAAGCGAAGCGTCTTTTAACATGTGTATGTACTACGAAGCGTTCTACGATTCTTCGTTTTGTGGAGGTATATAAACGAACGAATTTATTTCTCCTAGAACTAATTCTTTCCATTTTTCCACTGGAAGATTCATGTCTTCAATACTCTGGTCATAAGGTGCTGAAATAGGCTCATCGTGCGGATCGGCATACGCTGTTAAGTAGGGATGCTCTAACGCCCGTTCCGCCGTAATCCTCTTATCACTATCCAACTCCAGCATCAACCTCAGAAGATCCACGGCCTGCGGATTCGCCCCTAGGAAATACTGATTTAAGTCCTTCTTAGGCAAGGGTGGTAACGACTGTATGTAACTCTTCGCCTGCAACCACGTCATAAATACACGTCTCTTACAACACCACAAATATTTACACTGTCTGACGTAATTTTCTGCATAAACTCATCGCTCGGCGTCCCCAGAATTTCCATGATTAAATTAAGCTGGTGAATGTCTGCAGATGTTAAGAAAAACGACTATTTTCTGCTTTATAAGCAAACAACCGCGTACTGTTTATTCGCAACCAACACGAGCTCTCAAGGCCACTGAAACGTCCAGAACCAACTTTTTTTGTACAACATACTATTAATTTTACACTATCGGTAACCGTTTGTTCTTTTATACAACATGCGCCATTTCTGTAACAACAAAAATAAACTAAAAGTCAGTTGATGTGTATATCTTTCGCCAGTGTAATTGCGGCTTTTTGAGAAACGAATCAGGTGCTTTAACTGATTTGACGTTTCCGTCCAAAATGGCCACAAAATTAGTAGGCTGTGATAGGCATTAACTTTGACAGCTTTAAGTCCTCTTGCAAGTTTCGAAATTTAAGGTTAGAAACATGTGCACAGCCTACTTGAGGATTAAATTTACAGATTCATTTGCTCCACAATGTAAAAATGTATTAGGTTGTCGTACAAAACGTTAGTCCTGTCAACTGTACTACACAGTGACGTTTATGACAGTAGTGACATAACAAGCTTAAGTGCTAAGTTAAGCCTGCGCAACTCAGTCATTGTATTTTGACACGAGTGTCATTTCACACACGTGCATTTTAAAAAGGATACGATCTGTGCCTGGGAAAAGAGTACGTCCTGTTAGTAATTCGGCCATTATACATCCTACTGACCAAATATCAACTGTCTGGTTGTAGTGCATCCAGTTTAACATAATTTCTGGCGCTCGGTACCATCTGGTTGCCACATATCCCGTCATTTCAGTCTCCGTAGGTCGGGCTAAACCAAAATCAAGAATTTTGAGCTCACAATCTTCGTTAACGGCTATATTAGAAGGCTTTAAATCCTGAAAGCACGTGCGAGATTACAGTAACTTGCGTGTGAACTTAAGTAACATGTTGACTTAATTAAGCTGATACTATATGTGTAAAACGATGGCGATCTAGTCCAACAAAGTATAGGAGCATGTTATAAAAGGGTTTGCACTGTTATCAGCGAAATTTATAACGATTTATGGCACCAATCTGAAGCATCTTATCTAACATATACTAAACTTAATTGTAGTGTGACGTGGTGAAGTTTCATGTCAATAAATCAAGTTTGGGGCATGTTGCAAACGTATTCTAAATCTAGTCAAGTGGGCTAATTGCTGTTTGTCCCCATGATATACAGCCACATATAAGAGTGACTGTATGTTTGTGTTTTGATAAATGTCTACATTCTTTTACAGTTGCGACTAACAACTAATACTTACTCTGTGTATAATTCCCGCAGAGTGGATATATTTTAGGCCACGTAATATCTGATACACTAAGAACTGTACGTGATCATCGGTTAGTTTTTGAGTACGTATAATGTTATTTAAATCGGCCCCCATAAGATGGGTGACTAGATAGATCTACAATTTATATTTTAAATTTCGGACGGTTCGTGAACCAAATCTACCTGGCTATTGTCGTGTTGAGGATAAAAAACATCCAACAATCCGATTACGTTTTCATGTCTCATGTGTTTTAAGAGTTTGAGTTCTCGGTACGTCCTTTTAGCGTGAACGGCTGATTGAAAAGGTCGGGCTAATTTTTTTATGGCAACTTTTTTCTTGTTTGAGAAAGTATCCACGGCTGAGCTGTGGAAAAATAAAAATGAAAATAGGTTAAGGCTTCGTTTTAAAAACCTAACCTATAAACACACAAGGAGTAGAGTGGAAGGTTTAAGGAAAAAGACAGCTATGTTGGGTAAAGTTTATTGCAGGAAAAGTACAAAATGGATCTTTCTATTGGAAGGAATGGTCATAAAATTAATGGTATATAACGATTAAGCAATAATGTAGGTGTTAAAATTACATACCAAACTTGTCCGTATGCTCCCGAACCTACGGCTGAAAGCATTTGATACCTTTCGGGAACTTCCCAAACCGTTTTATTCACTTCGACTTTGTGGAAACCCGACATTTTCGTCGATTTTGTGAAAATTGCTCAGGTTTTCGACGATTCACAGCACCTTTTCACCTATAGAAAAAGATGTGAGATAGAGATTGGCAATCACAAAAACACATGCAAGAAAGAGAGGTCGTATGACAGAGACAGTCACATGTTTACGTTCATTTTAATTACATCAAAACAACAAAGCTAAGTTTAAGTGCTACCGATTTAACACAAACTTTACCCCGCAACTATTTTTTTAAGAATATTTTTAGATTTTGGACGATCGGTTGTGCTTTTATGCGCAATTCGGGTGTGACTGTCACTTATTACATTCACATTTGCACTAAAAAATGATATACTGATAATCGCATCTGATAAAATTATTACTACAAACAACATTGTTGTTTCAGTTTAGTGTCTCGGAAGGTAAAATTAACGCCACAATCTTGCTATAAACTCAAAAGTTGTGTGTTAAAAATAACTCGAAAATATTTACAACAAGTAAGGCCCCCAATACACGTCCTGCTTGATGCAATCAAGCGTCCAAGCCAGACATGCTTTACATTATTGACACTAAAATCTAAAACTGCACTTATAATAACTAATAACGTGTAAAAGTAGCGCGCATACTTTTTTTTATTACACTGGCATGTAGATCAAAACGTTGGACTTTGAAGTTCTTCTCACCTGATCAATAACAAAGACGATACTCATCGCGCACTTTACCCAATTAACGGAAAATCATTATCAAATCGATAATGAAATTACAAAATTACACTATATTTTTGACACGCACTTATCACCTCTTGCACTACAACTTGTCATTAAACTTGGTCACCGAACAACTTACGGTTGTCATTACATAATTAAATTCAAATCACTTCACTTCGTACACCGATAAGCAAACACTAATTGTGTGATAACCTCTTTAAATTTTTAAGCTTGACGACATGGTATTTAAACGAGACTAAAAAAAGTTATGAGAAATTACCTGCAACGTTTGAATCACAGCTTTATTTAATACTGCTACGGCTGGTGGAATTTTTGGCATGAGTCCTCTTCACTGATGGCCAATCATCCACAAATTTAACAACTTTTCTTACACAAATCTAATTGCAACAGTTCATTACAGCCACAACTGCTTCCTCGATTAGCTTCCATTTCTCGAGCTGTCCGATACCAGAATTTTCCTGGCTCGTCCGATTTCAGCGTGTCCTTGGCGTTCCTTTGGGTTAGTCATCGCATATTTTTCCCGTAAAAATTTAAACCGTTTCCTTTCTTATTTTAAAACTGATTTCTTCCGAACTTAGGAATTTGGAAAGTATATACTGTAGGTGATGGATATCTATTTCATGTTATCTCAATGTTTCGCCATTTGTGGATGTAAATACGAAAATGCCCGTTTCCGTTTGTATGTCCGATCTGTCCATCGCATGTGGTTTTTCGTCTGTTCGCTAGAGTAAACTCATTTAACCTACACTATGTAAAACTCTTATAAGTCAAACTGGCTTTACTTTATTAGACGAAGATAATAAGGCGTTTAAAAGATTTGTCAACTAATGTCATCCAAAAAACTGATAACATCATCTCATGGACAAAAATATGAAATATTTTGAAATTTTTATAAATGTTTTCAATATGACGATTTAAATTACTTTTAAACACTTTGTATTAACACTCTATTTGAAATATTTTAGGTAAGTAATTTTTAAAATTTAATGAAGGTTTCCCCCTTTGAAGGTTAAAAAAAAAGTCAAGTCAGATCAGGTCAGGTCAGGTCATAAATAAACATAATTTTCAAAAATTGGTCGAATGTTATTTCGACAGAACTTCCCTTACCCTTGAAGTATACTCCAAACACCGCTCCTTCCAAAAATAAAAAAAATTAATTTTGGGATTTTTGTTTTGCGATAACCCATACCGGGTGTCTGGAAAATGGCGGATTAACTCTTCAGTACGTTATGTACGGGGGTTTCGAGAGTCCCAAAGAGATAATAAAAAAATTCTTTATGATGTAGATTACGAAAAAAACGTAATTTTATAAAGTAAAATTGGCAACACTGCATGCTTTCTGATTTCTTAGTAACGATGGGGACTGAAATCCACCTTTTTTATAAGTAAAGCAAAAGAAAACATTTAATAAGACATTTATAAACCATAAACAAAAACAAAGCCAACAAAAGAAAAATACATTAAAGCATAACCAACCAAACACTAGAGAAGATGTTCAAAATTCCTGCCTTGCGCATATAAATAAGCTCGTAATGTTTCCAAATTTGGATAATTTTTTGTAATATTTACTTCCTAAGATAAAACTGATTTTGGCAAATGGCATTTCCTCTAAAACAAGACAGGGTGGGTGGGCGGGGCTAATACCTGCTAAGATAAAACGGATTTTGCTAAATGACATTCTCTAAGAAAATAGAGGGGGGGTGGGTGGGGTTAGTATCAGCTAAAATAAGATCCATTTTGGCAAATGACGTATCTTCTAAGAAATTTAACTAAATTATTGTAAGAAAAGACACTAGAGGCTCCACAGCACTTTCAAATTTTTTCCAATATAGAACCTCAAGAAGGAATGTTTTTACTATTTTCCCAGACTTACCAGTTGATTGTTAAGAGCGTAGCGGAGAGTTTATCCGCCATTTTCCAGACAGCCAGTATAAAATAAAATCCAGTAGCGTAAATAACAGCGCCGTAGACCCTGATATGACATATATTTAAAGCAGATCATCAACGGTGAAAAATGTATTTTCAATTTCTCAGTATATGCCTAACTTCGACCGTTTATGTCCTCCATGGTTTATGTTTATACTTGAAAGAATTCGATTATTAGCACGTTCAGATTTCAGCCATCAGCGGTTAAAAGAAAATGAAATTTGACTTATTTTGTCTGCTCAACGCAAAAAACTTGCGTAAACACTCATAAAGATGAAGAACCTTTATTCAGCAAAACTATAGGATTAAGTCAACATTTGATTAACGATTCACCATGTTTCCAATAATCTTCACAGTTTTGCAATTTTAAAGTTAAATTGTACTACAGTTTTTCAAAAAATCAAATTCTGAATACTAAAATTTTTATTTTTGTATATTTTTTGTTCTTTTTCCCTAGATATCCTTTTGCTCTTAGGAGATTAAGAATATTCATTCCCAATTTTTCTCTCAAAATAGTATTTTCTACAATACGACCATGATTCAAATATAGGGACTTTGCATTTAAGCTCTGCCCCTCGATCTCATAACCAATAAAAAATTCGTGACAATTGAGATCGGGCGGGTGGGTGGGGCTTAATTTTTTATGTTTTTCTTAGTATGTGTAGTTTTCTTTCAACGACACGGTACTCAAAACGGTACTTAAAACTCCCCCACGTCTCAAGGCGAATAAAAAAATTAATCATAATTGAGTTGGGGCGGGTAGGTGGGGCTAAAATACTTAAAATATCAAAGAATGAATTTGAGATTAGAACTATGTTTTAAGTATCGTGTTTTCGAAAAAAAAACTACATAGGTACATTAATTGTCAATGATTAAGCCCCACCCACCCGTCCTATCTCAATTATGATTAATTTTTCATTTGTTGACAGTTTGAGGGGCGGAGCTTAAATACAAAATCCATATTTCTCAACAAAATAGTAAAATAATTTCAATTTTGCACTTTCTCATTTTTTTTAACATATTTCACGTGCTAATTTCTTGAAGAAAAATATGGACTCTGTGTTTAAGCTCCGCCCCCCGTCTCACGACGAATAAAAAAAATAATCACAATTGAGTTGGGGTGGTTGGTGGAGCTTATCCTTTTATTTTTTTTTCGTAATATGCTAGACTTCTTCCAACAGTAAAATAGTTAAAATATCAAAGGGTGAATTTGGCGTTAGAAATATGTTTTAAGTATCGTGTTGTTGAAAAAAAACTATATACATTAAGAAAAAGATGTAAGAGATTAAGCCCCACCCACCCGCCCTATCTCAATTCTGATAAATTTTTCATTTGATGTCAGATTTAGGGGTGGAGCTTAACTGCAAAATTCATATTTCTCTACAAATATTAAAGATACTACAATTTTGCACTGCCTCATTTTTTTAACATATTTACATGCTAATTTCTTGTAGAAAAATATGAATTCTGCGTTTAAGTTCCGCCCCCCGTCTCACGATGAATACAAACATGAATCACAATTGAGTTGGGGCGGGTGGGTGGGGCTTAATTTTTTATTTTTTTTTCGTAATATACTAGTCTTCTTTCAACAGTAAAATACTTAAAATTTGAGATTGAAATTATGTTTTAAGTATCGCGTTTTTGAAAAAAAAACCATATAGGTACGTTAAGAAAAGATGTCAATGATTAAGCTCCACCCACCCGCCCTATCTCAACTCTGATGAATTTTTAATTTGTTGTCAGTTTGACGGGCGGAGCTTAACTGCAAAATCCATATTTCTCTACAAAATAGTAAAGATATTTCAGATGCTAATTTCTTGAAGAAAAATATGAATTCTGCATGTAACCTCCGCCCTCCGTCTAACAACGAAGAAAAAAATTAGTCACAATTGAGACGGGGTGGGTGGGTGGGGCTTATCCTTTGATTTTTTTTCGTAACATACTAGTCATCTTTCAACAATAAAATACTTAAAATATCAAACAGTGAATTTTAGATTAGAATTACGTCTTTAAGTATCGTGTTTTCGAAAAAAAACTATATAGGTACATTAAGAAAAGTTGTTATGATTAAACCCCACATTTGCAGGAATATGTTGTATATTATTCTATAAAAATTAAAGAATTCGGTAAAATTGTAAAATGGCGTCATCATTTTTTAGGAGGGTATACATACATAACAATCTATATTTAAGTCTATGGTTAAAACTCAACATGGATTCATAAACTACAAGTGCAGGAATATATTTTTTAAACTGTAAATAACATTTATTAATGTAAATTTTGACGATGATGTCATCCCATTATTGGTGGGGATGATTAGCACGAAAAACAATTAGTTAATTCCTATTGCTATTTGACACATATTTTATTACTAAACTTGCATTACTTGAAAATGATAATTACATCATCGTGACTTAAGCTGTCAAATGCTTCCGATAGTTCGAATTTGTTCGGATTAGACGACATTTTCTATGATTTTAGAGAAAGCAAACACCACAGAGGTACGTCTATAATTCTGTGTATTTCGTGTTTAGATTAGATCATTCGTCCAGAAAGTAACCATCCGAGAGACATGAATTAATGATTTGAGTCAAAGCATGCGTCCTTATTAGGGGTATTTTAACTAATTTAATTTAATTATGCTCAATTATTTCGAAAATTAAAGTCATAGTAATAATAATAAACATGGATTTTTTCCTTATAATATAATACAATCTCATGGTACGCCTATTTTTGACATAACTGTGGTAAAGATTACGAACTTTCCTGATTTTAAGTTAATTTCTTGGAAGGTTCAAGTCGGGTTAAAAATTTTAAAATTGTGTTTCGCTGCTAGTGACGAGCCACCACTGGATGCGTGTTTTAGTGTCATCTATCAGGAATATATGCGCTATTTCTAATTCATCGTGTACAATAAAATTTATTGACAAATTAATGACTTAATTAATTGTTGAAATTAATTAAGCCCGGGTAAAATGTCAATTTGATCGTGCGACGTCAGCTTGAAGTGGCATGTACCTTATCATGCGCACCGCACTCGCGCATAAACAATGGCGTTGATATTTTGTGAAAATGATGGTGGCCTGGTTGTTGGAGTTGTAGGCCACCAAGTTTTGTTATGGTTCCATTGATTTTTCCACTTAGAAACAAAATGATGAAAGAAAACAATGACAATATTTATCTATTAGAATGATATTTTACATATCATATTGTTGGTGTTGAAATAATGTTGGAAGATGGCTACTAATTCTTACAGGTACTCAATCAATATGTAATAATCGACACGCCCCAAATAAATGAAAATTTCGTAATTACAGGGTGGAATGGGTGGAGATAATAGAACCAAAAACCGGGGAACATATGTACGCGAATTTAACAACGGGGGAGTTCGTGTGGGATCCTCCTGAGGGTGTTCCAGTTAAAAGGACCGATTCAAATCAATGGTGGGAGTTATTCGATCAAAATACCGCTCGTTTTTACTATTACAATGCTACATCACAGCGAACAGTATGGCACAAACCCACCAACTGCGACATAATCCCTCTAGCTAAATTACAAACCCTGAAACACAACACCGACTGTACCCCGACATCCACTTCGAACCAAGCCACTCAGACCGGGGAGGCCGCCAGCAGCAGAGGGCAAATCCTCAGCTTATCCGCCAGCACCCCGCAGTTGCGACGGAAATCCAACGATTTGTGTCGCAGCAGCAGCTTTAGCCAGAGAGGTGCCGAAGCAGCTCCGTTGTATTCCAACTGGCACGACTCACACCTCCTCCCTTTGGAGCACTTCCTGCTTAACAACAGCAGGGATTCGGACACCGATCACTCGGACAGCGGCAGCGAGTCGTTAACAGGCCACGAACCTGACAATGAAGACTCTGACCAGTCAGAAGGGAGCTATTTACCGCACCGGTTACCTCACAAGCCCGTCGAGTATCTCAATCTACCGACCAGTTCGGTCAGCACGGAGCTGCGCGAGCAGAAGGAGCGTCTGCCGGTGCCGGTGCTCAAGCCTCTGGCTGAGCCCCCGTTCCAGCCGGAACGGGAGGCAGACATGGAGAAGTTCGCAGCTGATAATTTGAATCTGGGGGGTAGGGGTTTATTCAGAAGAAAGGCTAGTGTTCGTGATTTACTAAGCTGGTCGGCGCGGAGTTTGCAAAGGCCTTTATTGGCTTCAAGTAAACCGGTAGCTCGACAAGCTTTGGATATGTTCAGACAAGTACAAATGTATATGGGTGACCGTAAGGCAAGACCGGGGGTCTCGCTGAATTCGTTATTGATGGATATTCTTGGGACGGCGCATACACAGGCACTTTTAAGGGACGAGTTATTCGTGCAACTGTGTAGACAAACCACGGAAAATCCAAGACGGGATTCTCTCTTGCGTGGTTGGGAATTACTGACCATTGCTTTAGCTTTTGTTCCTCCTAGTCCAGCGTTTCAACCTGCGCTTTTAGGGTATTTAAATCGACATAGGGATCCAGGGTTTTCAAGAGTTTTTCCAGACGTCAGTCGTTGGCCCATTCATGTACAGGTATGTCGAGGTCTCTCCGTCTCACTTTTTCCCATTTACCCCACTCGTCGGTCTCTCTCCATCTCGTCCCGTCCTGTGTGGCTCCTCGCTCCACTTTCTTTTTTCCGCTTGGTTGCGACCCAACTTTCTACTCAGTAAAGCATTCAAAGTACGACTTATCAATTTTGATAAAATTTTGTGATGACGTCATCACATTGAAAAATCAAGTTGGCCTTGATTTTGTCGGTGAGCGTGTTTTTATATTGCAGGTGAACCATTACGCGACTGTGGCGTGCCAGCGTCTGGAGCGGATCGGGGCCGGTGGGAAAAGGTCCGCTCGTAGGCCCCAAATGGACGACATAGATTCCGCTCGTAAACAAATTTTTCAAGCTAGTCTCTTTGGCAATACATTGCGTGAAGTCATGCAACTTCAGGCTAGTCGCTGGCCCAATAGAAGACTTCCGTGGCCTCAGGTGGAACTGTCTCAGCAAGTTCTGCGTCTGCAAGGCTTAAGTACGGAAGGCATATTCCGAGTATCAGCTGACGTAGACGAGGTAAATAAGTTGAAGGCTCAAATGGATAGGTGGGAATTTAGCGAGCCGAGTGACGCACACGTACCAGCGAATTTGCTTAAACTGTGGTTGCGCGAACTTTATGAACCCTTGATACCTGACTCCCTATATCCTGAATGTGTTTCGGAGCCCATGACTCCACGTCGTGCATGTGATTTAGTTCTACGTTTACCGACATTGCATAGACTTGTGTTATGTTATTTAATTCGATTTTTACAAACTTTCAATAAACCAGATGTTATACAGCACACTAAAATGGATGCTTCCAATTTGGCTATGGTCTTTGCGCCTAATTGTTTACGTTGCATGGCTAGTGATCCTCGCACCATGTTCGACAATGCTCGCAAAGAAATGGCCTTTATGCGATGCCTCATTCAAGAACTTGACACGGAATGTGTCCGAGACATGATCTGACCTCAGTTTATATATATATTTATATCATTATACATACCAGTTATTATTGTATCATTTTATATTACTACATCATACCATAGGTACCCATTGTGACCTTTTTTCTTCTCTTTTATCTGGCATTCAAAATTGTGATTTAAATTCTCCAAATAAACTGTTTTCATATTAGCCTCAGTTTTCTTTTTCTTATTTATTTATTTTTTCTTAATATTTACTGGATCATACAAGAAGATACCCTACAGGGAAGCTTGGAACCAGCAAAACACGCTGTGGAACGAATACGGCAGTGCTCACATATACGAATTTAGCAAGAAGTCTTTGTAGAATAAGGGTTATCTACAAACTAGTTGTACTTTCGAGCTTGTAATTTCCTATATCTACCTATTGTTAAAAACTTTTTTCAGATGTGTATACCACGTTTGTATTCATATTCACAGCATAATAAAAACAAACATATACAACCGATGTTAATTCATTGCAAACTGTCATCACCACAATGTAAGTATTCTTTAAGTTATTTATGTTCAGTTTTTCAGTTCAGAATGTTGAACCGGCTGCAACAGCGCATGTGCAGTAGAGCTAAAAGTCGAATTATGGAATCCCCAGTAACATTTTATATTTAATAAATACTGAAGTTCTGACATTTAAATAATATGGGTAACGACAGAAAATTAATATTGGTTTTAAATATTGAATATATATTTATTTTCAATGTTTAATACTTATTCAGTTCAGAACATTTAATAAATGTTCATGTGAAAGGGGGTATGAATATAAAAAAAAAACTAGTATGGAATACAATATAAAATTTATTAAACACAAAAATACATTGTCACCGGAAATAACAGTGTATTTGAAACGATAAAAATATTCTGCTCAGTATAATATTTTTTCGACAAGTTACCTTTACCGATATATTATACAATTGTTCATTTGAAAATATAAATACCATATAACAAATTTTTTGTTACAGTAACTAATTTTAACGATATGTTTTTATCATGGAAGTTATGTATATTATTCATTTTGTTCAATAAATAAAACTATTGTCCTGGAAAAATAACGAAAGCTTAATTAATAATGTTGGATGTACAGTCGAAATCATAGACGTTCAGTAGAAATTGAACAGGTTCGTTAGAAAATTATGGTGTTCTTTATGGTTAACACCCCACACGTGATAGATAATCTCATTATTTTTTTAGAATATGCATGTTAATCTTTATTATATAGTTAGAATCATTTATTTGTTATTATTGAAACAGTGAAGACTGTTTATTATTATTATTTTACTGTTTATTTTTATTTTTTTTATACACGAAAGTGTATTCTATGTTTAAATGTGATCTATTTTTTTTCTTGGAATTTTATCTTGATTTTTACAAAAACAATGTATAGGTAGGCCTTTGTTATTTTTCCAATAAAAGTATTTGTTAAAAATATTGCTTCCTACCTATTGTTACAATTACTCGTATGTACTTATATATTACTATTTTTTTACTGAATAGGAGTATTCATTAAAACGTGCCATCGCCAGTTAGGTCAACCAGACACTCTAGCATTTCTACTGAACATCTATTATTTTTACTAAACACAGCACAATTAAATACTTGGACATGGTACTGGTCATTTTTTATTTTAATACTTACAATTTCTACTGAACAAACTTATTAATGTACGTAACAAACTATTTAAGTTACCTAAAAAAAATGCATTTTATACTTATCATTTAATTACAAGCCATTTAAAAATCATTTGTCCTAGAACCAGTTCGTTGAAAATTTGTACCAGGTGATTTTTTTTTAAATTTCTGCTGTAGTTACCCATGACACTTATGTCAGCAGTGAAACTGAAACTGCTGACATAAGCTTCATGGCCAACCAGAGCATAAACTTAAAAAATCACCTGATGTGAAACACAATATAAATTTTTTAAACATAAAAATACACTGCCAACTTACAATGAAATAACAATACATTATTGTCAATGGAAATAACAATGTTCTGCTACATTTCAATCGTTACACAGAAATATTTATTTAATAATTATTTGCTCTATAACCAGTTCATTGAAAAGCGATATAATTCATTAAAATAAAAAAAATCATACTTCATGTTTTTTTCGATTCTTGCTTTTGTCTGCGCTTAATGAGGTCCTACAATTAAATTAACTAACAAAGTTCGTAATTTTTAAGAAATCACATAACTTTACATATTGTAGCCTTGTTAATTGTGAGTTCACTAAAAGAGAGCTTATTTTTTCCTTGCCCTGAAAACTTGAAAACAATTTGGTTCATTATTAATAATTTCTTCAAAATTGCATACATGTTTTTTTACGTCTTCTCTTTCTGGCAAATAAACATTATTATTAGTCTGAAACTAGTTTATAAATACTAGGAGTTAATAATAATAATAATAATAAATGCTTACCAATTCATCCAATTTCTGCGTATCTCCCGCAATTTCTAACTGGATTTCTTCTTTTTTTTTGGTTCCGCCCGGACATTCATCATTTTGTCTCTACATTCATAATATGCTTATATTCAGAAATATTAAACCTCTTAAACATACTTACGTGTTGAAAAATTGCATTTTCTGTATTGCTTGTAGATGTGAGGTTATGTAGGGTTAGTACTGTTTTCTTGACAAAACGGTATTTACTACACTATTCTGAATTTATCGCAGTACCGATAATCACAATTCACAATAGGACAAACACCATGAACTTACACAAAATATTTTTTGAACCACCAACAATAACAGAAAATATGTATATGTTGCACATTGCGCAAACGCGTTCCAGCAGAGCAGGCGCATCTGTAGGTGAAACGCAAATTTAAGTAAGTTTTATAAAAATGATGAATAAAATTGTTATTTTTTGGTATTTTTTCAAATCAATTTTTAATATTGCTCCAATAAAAACCCTATGAAATAAATTACCTACAAGTTGTCCCAACATGGTACTTTTTTTTTCATTTTTGTTGTTCGGTATCTTGATAGAAAGACATTTCATAAATATGTAATATATGTTGAAATTCATATATAAATTTATAAATATAAAATGAATATTATATAAATATTTGTAATATCTAGTCAACATTTAATATTATATCAATCTTGTATAAATATTAGAAAAATATTGCTTGTTACTGGGGATATCTATCCTGTTTTTAAACCCTTCAGCACACACTTTTTTACGTTTTATACTAGTAAGGCTAACACGTCTTGCCAGTGGCAAACGTTTTCATGATAGTCACTGTCCAGTTTAATGGTTTAATTTTTTGTTAGTTGAAATTATCCGCATACCCCTTGGCGTGAAATTCTGGAAACTTTTCGCGACTTCACGGTCAGTAAGAGGTTGAAGTTCTTCCTTATTTATGTAAGTGACATGGGTTTAAGTTAAAAAAAGCAACAAACTGCTTTGACATTGACGTCAATGACGTCACTTTCAACTCACTGATGCCAACCGCAAGATTTATGTCACAGCGTACTAGAAATGAGAAAGTAATCGATCACAGGTGCTCCATCTTAACTTACTTATTATTACGCATCCAGAATCGTCTCAGATTAGGAAAAGGAGACGTTTAGGTTAATTTTATGGATTCTGGCGTTCGTAGATACAAGAAAATTGTTAAAATTCTTCAGAAACGTCACTTTTGAAGTGTTTTCTTGTAGTTTTAAGCCAATCAGAAACCCTACGGGCTCGGAAAGGGCAACGAAACCATCAAATTTTAGCTAAAACTGTATTTTTGTCGATTTTTATTGAATTTGAACTATATTTCAACGTTTTTTGATGGTTCTGAGCCACCAAACACACTTAAAGCATGCAGAATCGTCTCAGAATAGGAAAAGGAGACGTTTAGGTCAATTTTATGCATTCTGGCGTTCGTAGATACAAGAAAATTGTTAAAATTCTTCAGAAACGTCACTTTTGAAGCGTTTTCTTATAGTTTTAAGCCAATCAGAAACCCTACGGGCTCGGAAAGAGCAACGAAACCATCAAACGTCTTCTTTTACTAATATTTCTAGTGCATAATAAAATATACAAAAACTGTGTTTATAATTATAAAAGTAGTAGTTTGTATCAGTAATAGGAAAGTTACAAAAAGAAATTAAATATATAGTTTTCTTATGCAAAAAAGAGAAAACATTGGTTTTAATTAAATTGTAATTGTAAAATCGATACGGCTAAAACCGTTGGGTGCTGCGCAGACCACAAAAACTAAAAAATTAAACAACATATAATAGTCGAATGTTCTTTTATTCCTTAAATACAAATCAAATGAACATTAAGCATTTTATACATAAACAACACGTATTTATGAAAATGGCATTCTGTCATTTTGTCTTAAGCGAGGTAAATATGGCAGATGTCGTCCTAATCTAGGCGCAAATGGAGGCGATCTTTGATATAAATATTCTGCAGATATCGCTGAATCATCCGATGGCCACTGATTTTCGTCTGGCCTTATACCATTAACAATTTCTTCTTCGGATTCCCTACCTAATCGTGGCGTAAATTTAACAACGTGACGTTTGCCGGCTAGAAGTAACAAAATAGTTATACAGTGGGTGCGAATTAGTTAAGTCTTACCGTTTCCGTTTGACAAAGGTCCATTTTGAAGGGCGTCCATTATTAACATAGCCAGTCCCTCTTTTTGAAGATTGTCATAAAAATCGTTGCTGCTGGAGTTGCGCTTTTTTCTTCCGAGTTTGGGGCTGGGCCACACGTATGGTTCTTTTATATGTCCTCCATGTGTATTTCCTTGGTTGTTGACATGTCGATGATGAAAATCGTTCTACTCAAAAATTAGTAAAAAACAATATAAAACAGTAAAAAATACACTTTGTTATAAGTTGTTTTTTGAAAATGGTTCGTAAATTTTGAAAAACGCGTAACGTGTTTACACAGTACTCACTTGAGACACTGAAGAAATGTATTCAAGGAGAAGGATCAAAACACATATCACTACCCAGTTAACAACAACGACTCGTTCCATAGTTGTGAATGTCCGGATGAGGAAATCTAAGGATTTTATAGCTCAGTTTGGACTACGTCACGGACTCTAGGGGGCCTTTGGGACAAAAACAACCCCTGCAGTTTTCTAAATCCTTTAAACTAATTTATCCAACACGTAACACACGCTCGCTGCTGCAGAAGACAAGCAAAAACGATTTATCTTAAGGGTATACAGCGTGTTCACAAACGATGTGACTAAACAGCACACCGGGTCAAACAAATCCTTCGGTAGATTATAATTTTTTATTATTTTGTATATTCCTTACGTTGGTGTTCAATTATTTCTAGGCTTTCAAAGATGTTTAAAAATTCATAATTATTAAGTGCTTTAATAGATGAAGAAGATGAAGAAATTGCAAAGAACTGGTGGTGGAAAAAATTAATAAAACTTTTTATTCATACGTTTTCTGCATATATGTGGTTTAACGTTACCCCACTAAGATAATGCGTTCTCTTGACACACATTTAGTTCCTGTATATAAATTACTCCATTTGTCGACTTTAGCTCCTTGTTGTTTACTCCAAGTAGTAATGGTTTTTAAATGGTCTCTTGTAATACGTTCTCAACCAACTAGGAAACCGTATTTTCAAATTTTTGACAACTTAGGTGAACTCATCTGTATTGTTCCTATGTTTTACACGTTAACGATTTAAGTAACGACGTACTGAATTTTGGTTATTAATGGCATTTTGATAATATAATTTCACTTTTAACAGTGTTACAGTTTTTATTTTTTTTTGGTTTAATTTTAATTTTGGATAGGCAACCAATAATACTCCTATGCATTATCATTCATCACCCAAGCTGATAATTATTGCTTCTGGAGTCTGTATGAAATGGGGGCGTGGCTTTTCTCCCACTTCACTGAACATCATTGACATAAGTGTGCAACTACTGCATTCATTTTCTATTTTTTTTTACATTCTTGAATATTTGTGAAATTTGTGCAGCCAAACAATTTTCAATAAAATTTGTTTATTTAATATATTTTTTTAAATTTATTCAAATAAACTTAGAAACAGAAGTGAACTGTTTCACCATAGGTAAAGAAATGTTTGTATTGCATTTTGAGATGACGTCATTGACTCTCAAAGGGATGAATCAACGAATTTTGCTTAGCTTTTCATTGTCAATAGAATAAAGTTAAAATATGCCAAAAATTGCAAAATAATCGCGTTGGTAGTTTCAGAGGTTATCTTTATTATAAAATTCACAACAGACAGACGACGGACAGACAGACACGTATACCTTGACTTTCGTTTTGTACAAACTATGGAATACAGTGTAAAATGATTAATTTTCTGATGTAGAAATAGATAACGTTTCATGTCATAACAATAATTTGACGTGTGTTCTGTCAAATTTATAAAAAAGCACAATCAGTTAAACAAATTTAGTTTCTCAGATAAATAATAATAAATTGTAGTCTTCAAAACTACTAGACTGACTGAAATTTTAGATGTATTTTAAGACTATCTTGTGCATGGTACCTAAAAGTAAAACGCTAACTAAATTTGTCTGATCATCCCCACTACCAGTTTCGTGACGTCATTTTGAAATTTGCTAAATGATCTCAACTCACAATGTGTATTAATCCATTTATAATATAAACATACAACAAAATTTTAAAATGTAACATCACAAATCTATTTTTTTACGCGTTCGTTGAACAAATCTCGTTTGAAATTTATACCGTGATATGCACTTTCGTGCTTTAATAATGTACCGATATTAGTTGTCGAGCGAAGAAAGTATTGTAATCGAGTCCGTCGGCCGACTCGCTACTTTTACGTCTGTCTGTCTGTCCGTCTGTCCGCCGTCCCGGATTTGTATTAGGCAGATGATCTCCGAAAGTACTAGACCGATTGTTGTCAAATTTTGCAGTTATATTATGCATATCATGTAGATGGTAAAACGTTAATCAAAATTTGTCTAATCATCCCCACCAATGATGTGATGACGTCACTTCAAAATTGTACATAATAAGTGGGTTTTAAATAGTATAAAATAACACAGTCCTACACATGTAGTTTATGACTCCGTGTCGAGTTTTCACCCGAAACGTCCAGAATTTTGGAAAAAAAAACAAAACTATTAAACAACATTTTGCCATTTAATTTTGAATCTGCTAAACCGAATGCTTTGAAACCTTGCAGATGTTTTAAATTATATATAATATAATATTTATAATTATAATTATAAAAAAATACATATTTTTGGATATTTCAGTTTTTCTTTCATTTTTCAGTTTTTGGATGTCTCAGTTTTGGGATTTTTCAATATTTCGATTCTTCGACTTTTCGATTTTTGACTCCTGGATTTTTCGATGTGTCGATTGTTTTACTTTTTCGATTTTTCGATTTTTAAATTTTAGATTTTTTAATTTTTAAAATTTTAGATTTTTCGTTTTCTCGATTTTTCAGTCAGTTCTTCGATATTTGAATTTTTTAAGTTTTCGAATTTTTCAAATGTTTCGATTTCTTAGTCTTTTGATTTTTCGACTTCCTGTTTTTCAATTGTCATTTTGTCAAATTTTCGATTTTTTAATTTTTCAAATTTGACTCTCATAAACTCTCAATTTTTCGATTTTTCCCAATTCTTGACCTTCGAGTGTTTCGATTTTCCTGTTCTTCAGTTCTTTAATTTTTTTATTTTTCAGGTTTTTGATTTTTCAGTTTTTCGATTTTTTAAGGTTTCTATTTTTGGACTACACTTTTTTGGTTTTTCGATTTTTCAGTTTTTAGATATTTTAGTTTTAGGATTTTTCATTATTTCAATTCTCCGGCTTTTCTATTTTTGACTTCTGGATTTTTCGATGTGTCTACCTTTTTACTTTTTCGATTTTTCAGTTCAATTTTTCAATATTTCTTAATCTTTCGATTTTTCGACTTCCTGGTTTTAGATGTTCGATCTTTTGATTTTTCGATTTGTTAATTTTTCATTCCCGATTTATGGAGATTTGATTGTTGAGGCTTTCGATTTACCAGTTTTTCAATTTTTATTTTGGCCTATTTCAGTTTCTCAGTTTTTCCAGTTTTCCATTTTTTCGTTTTTTGATTTTTCCGCCTTTCCAATTTTTCAACTTTTAACTTTTTGTTTGTCGATTTCTCTATTTTTCGATTTTTCGACTTCATCACTTTTCGATTTCTCGTTCTTTTGATCTTTCAATCTCTCAATTTTTCAATTTTTCGAATTTTTAAGTTTTTTGATTTCTCGATTTATGGAGATTTGGATTTTTCGATATTTTGATTGTCAATTTCTCAACTTATAAACTGTTCAATTTTTAACTTTTCGATTTTTCGATTTTGGCCTATTTCGGTTTCTCAATTGTTCGACTTTTCGACTCCACGATTTCTTGATCTTTTGATTTTTCTATTTCTCGGTTTTTCGATTTTCCAGTTTTTCGATGTTTCGATTTTTCAGTTATCCAATTTTTTAAATTTGGGAGTTTCGATTTCTCGATTTTCCGTTATTCGGTTTTTAAATTTTAAATTTTTGAATTTTACATTTTTTCGATTTTCTGATGTTACGAATTTTTAGCGTTTCGATTTTTCTATTATTAGATTTCTCTATTTTTTGAATTTTCGATTATTTTAATTTTTCATTTTTTTTCTCACTGTTAATATCATACAAAAATTGTCACTAAATTATAAATTTTTAGTCAAAATATATTTGCTTATCCCCTCCGAAAAATTGATGACGTCAACTCAAAAGTTTGCCGAAATAAATCCTATCTAAAACGTACAAAATATACTTGTAATTTATCATTCCATTAATATTTTTTGGATTTGCATATACAAGGTGACTAAAAAAAATTAATGAATGCGTAAATTTATTTTATTGATTTAATCAGGAACTCAAAACCGAATGCTTTGAAATCTTGGAGATGTTTTAAAGTTATCATAAGCATGGTAAATTTTTGATCAAAATGTATTTGCTCATTCTATCCATAATGTACAAAATATGATGAGCCTGTACTTGTGATTTATCATTCCATTAATATTTTTTGGATTTGCGTATATAGGGTGACTCAAAAAAAATTATCATTGTATTTCAGGAGCGAGGGAAGTTCTTTCGAAACAACATTCGACCATTTTATTTAATATATAGAGTTCTTTCAACAACAGGAACGTAAAACATGTTTTCAGTTTCTTGTTGGGAAAAGAAGACTTCGTATATTAAGAAAAAATGGACAAAATATAAACCCGCCCACCCACCCCTCCTCAATTGTGATGAATGTTTTATTCATCATGAGTTGAAGCACGGATTTTTATTTGCAAAATCCTCGTTTCTTTACAAGACATTATCATATGACATATATTTTTAAAAGGTAGAATTTTTTAGACAAATATTAATGTGGAGCTTAATCTTAACTGGTACAACTTCAAATCGAAAAACTACAAAATCTAAAAATTTAATGAGTTACATATAGAAAAATTGCAAACATGTAAATTGAAAAAACAAAAAATTATAAATTCGGAACATTGAAAAATTGTAAAAATAAAGAAAACAAAAAAACTGAAACGAAAAAATGCACATGGAAAAATTAAAAATTGTAAACCTGAGAAACTCCAATTGAAAAATAGCAAAATCTAGAAATTGAATTGAAAAGTTGAAAAATTGAAAAATTTTAACTTGAAAACTAGAAAATAGAAAAACTGAAGGAACAAAAAAAATAAAAAATTGATTTAATTTTGAATTTGCAAAACCGAATGCTTTGAAATTTTGCAAATGTTTTAAAGTTATGATAAACATGATACATTTTTAATCAAAATATATTTACTTATCCCTTCCAAAAAATTGATGATGTCAGCTCAAAACTTTGATGAGAAAAAATTCAACCCAAAATGTGCAAAATATGATGAGTTTTTACTTGTGATTTATGAATGCATTCATATTTTTCAGTTTTGCTTAAACGGATAGCTTAAAAAAATTAATGAATGCGTCGCTTTTTTATTTATATTTACATTTTCTCAGAA